GGTCAGAAGTTTTCAGACTTTCTCCTTGGGTCTGGAATCTTCTAAGAATGATTTTGGCCTCAGGAACTTGGATTTTGGACTGCCCTGAGACCCTGGCTGTGGCCATGCCATGCAGGGATGCAAAGGCAGATGGGGAGGGAAGAAGCCCCAAGATTTCCCAGGGAGTGGATTGAGTAGCTGGGTTGTACTGGATGCAAAGGATCAGGGAGAGGAAAGGTAAGCCTCGGAGCCCCAGAAAGAGCCTGGCCAGTGTTGCAGGGCCAGGGAAGTAGAGGGAGGTGAAGGCGGGGCCAGGACTAGAAACGGTGCTCCTGGAGCCCAAGAAAGGTACTGAGTTGGTCTGGGTGAGAAGGGTCAGGAAGCAGTATTGGTTCCCCAGGTGTCTGGGGCCCCAAGACTAGGAATGGCGCAGGGCCCAAACTAGGAGTATAGAATGAGGTGATGATGACGATGATGATGATGATGATGATGGAAGGGTGACTGTGGCTTAGGGAGTCCCGGCAGAGAGCTGCGCTATGACTTACCCCAAGAGGCCTGAGGATGGTAGTGCAGGCTAGGAGAGTTAGCCGGTGGTGCAGGCCCAGGGAAGCAACTACATTTAAGTTTTTGAATATTTATGTATGAGTACTGTCTTGTCTACTTACTGACTTTTTATCCTTTTATTTATTTATCCTATGAAAACCACAAGTTTAAAAGCTAGTGCTATGTAATGTGTTTTGTACATTTAAATTACATAGTCTGTATACATCACATCACTGTGCTGCAATTGTATGCTTTTTAAAAAGTAAAATAACAGGGATTGGAGAGATGGCTCAGCAGTTAAGATCACTGGCTGCTCTTGCCAAGGGCCCAGGTTCAATTCCCAGTACCCACTCAGTGGCTGACAACCGTCCATAACTCCAGTTACACAGGATCTGATGCCTTTTTCTGAGCTTCACAGGCAATGCATGACCTGGGTGTACTTACACACATGCAGGCTATACACTCATGCACATAAAATAACAATAATAAAATATTTTTTTAAAAAAGTGAAATCACAAAACAAAATACTTTGGATTCTAGGTATTGAGTCATGAAACACTTGTCTAAATAAATTTCACCTATGGCTACATTCCACAAATTTTAATTGCTTAAATATAATAATATTTATGTAAAGCATTAACTTCATCTACCAGAACCTTCAAGTACAGCTATGTTAGAAAAGGTAATGTTTGAACAAACCAAACTGTTCCAAAGAGAACACAATAATCTTCACAGTTTGGGGAGAAAGACAAAGATGTGGCCCATAAATATGCTCTGAATTATATTTTTCTCTTAATTTTTTTCCACATTTACTTATTTCAGCCATTGTGAAATTCTATATCCTTTCTGACACCTACATCGATCAAAACTACTCAATTTTCTTTCAATGAAAAAGGCTCAAATCTTCATTTCATGAATTCTTGTAACCAATGCCTTTTAAACACAATTGTAATGAAATGCACATTTGGAGACCGTGATATTTAAAATTTCCAAGGCTCATGTGTATCAGCTGAATTGGTTTAAATTAATTCTAATTCTGTCATGACTCTATTGCCTAAGTGAATAGGTCCTTTGATTCATCCCCACAGGATGAACCATTAAGGAAAGCCACTATTGAAATCATTTATATGTCTAGTTAGGGACATTCACACATGTAGGCTGAAATGCAAACATCTGTTTGAGTTTTTTGACTCAGCAATGAAATGTAATTGATTTCACATATTTTGGTACTCTGTAAATCTTCAAAATGCATGTTTCCATTCTAATAAAAATTAACCTCTAATCATTCTATTTAAATGCCATCTCATGGATATTTTCTTAACTATAAATGCGTATAGATTGTCAAGACATTCACAGAAAATACTGTCTGGCTTCTTTCAGTCACATCTCTTTCCATTGGAAGACTAGTCACCATATACCTGATACATGCATTTGTTGGTTTCCGAACTGTCCAAATTAAAGTTCTGACTCCACTGTATTCTGTTTGAATTCAAGTCAGGATTAGTATTCCTTTCTTCTTTTCCCTCTCATATTTCATTGTCTGCTCCTTCCACGAGAACTCAAAAACTGTCTCTAGGGAAAATAGCGAGCTGTGGAGAAACATGATTTATGATATTCTCTCAATCAATGGGACTCAACTTGTTAGTTCTGAAATTAAATCAATAAAGTCTTTGTTGTAATAAACATAACACAGAAAATATTAGGGTATCTTAGAGGTAGTAGAATTTAATATTTTTCTGTTAAAGTTATGTTTCAACATATATCTGTGTGTTTGTGTGTATAAGTGTGTACCACGCTATGGAGAAAACTATACTTATGAACCATTATCATTGAAAACCTACTTTAGGGGGAGGGGCCATCTGAGGGATATTGGCAATTGATGAGGAAGTGAGAATCACTCTCATTTGTAAACATGACCACTAGTTAGGTTGCCCAAGCCCAGTGGATGGCCCCAAAGCCATGAGTATAAGGACAGTACTAAATGAACTCAAAGGGTTACTAATACAAATAAATAAGTAAATAAATAAATAAAGACACTAAGTTGTGAAGCAGATGAGGGAGGCACTAAGGGAGTTGAAGAGACGGAGTGGTGTGTGGATATGATCAAAATACATCAAAATTGTACAAATACATGGAATGCTTAAAGGATAAATTTTCAGTGTCATTTTTAAAAACCCATTCTAACAGTAAAGTTGTAAGAAGCATCTTATCCTAGCCATGTCAACACACATTCACAAAAACATATCTGAACTTTGCTTAACAATTTGTTCGAAGCAAGTACTAACACATTATAAACAAGCTAGCATAAGACTCAGTCTCTCAAATATCATTGCCAAATTGCTCACATATCACTGTCTGAAACACCTGGCTAGAGCTTTGCTTCTTAGAGCACAGACATGGGGTGCTGGAAAGAGCATTCAGCTCTTAAGAGCATATTCTGTGTAAGTATGAGGACTGGAGTTGGGATCACAGCACTTACATAACAAGATGAGCCTGGTCTCCAGAAGTCCTGTAACCCAAGCACTGAGGGGAGGCAGAGATAGAATGATCTCTGTAGCCAGCTGACCCGAAAATGCAAACTCCAAGCTCAGTGAAAGATCCCCACCCAAGGTGGAGTGTGATGGAGGACATCCAATTTCTTCCACATACACTACACACAGGTGCACGCACATACAAGTTCTCTCTCTCTCTCTCTCAAGTTCAGACACAGTGATTGGAAGCATGTATATGATATGGACGAGACAGAGCAAGATGTTATGTAGCCACTGAATCATTGTTTCAGTAATCCCCTGAACATTATTTTAATTTGTGAACTGTAACATTCTAAATAAAGACAGTATAGTTTTGCCATCTGCTTTATATCTCCCTATTATTTCTAAATTCTATGCCTCATAACAGTTTCTCTCAACAGTGTATGTTTATTTTATCAAATAGTCTACTGTTTTCAGGGAGCCTTCTTTAAACAAAACTTTATTTTAGTTTTGAGAATTTCATGCATGAGTATTGTATTCATGTTATTCCCATCCCTCTCAGTCCCCCTCTACCTCCTCCATACCCTCCCCACCCTTTCTCAGTATCTTTTCCTCTTTTTTGATTATTATCATTACACATATGCATACATTTATAAATGTACATATACATATATAAGGCACCGAGTCCATTTATCAGTGCTCATGTATACCTGTATTTAGGGCTGCCCATTTGGGGTTAGATAACTTCTCAGGGATTTAGGAAAAAATTGATTCTCACTCCTTCATCATCTATTAGCTGCCTATAGCGCTTTATCTTGAAATGGGATCCTATAAAAGTTCCCCATCCACCTTGGAATGTCAACTGGCTTGTCATTATGCACAACTTGCTAGGCTTCCATACTGTGGAGAGTTCATTGGTGCAGCTTCCCTATCATTAACTAACAGCAGGTGTCTTGTCCCTCTGGCTCTTAAATTCTTTCCGCTCCCTCTTAGGAAGCCTTCTTGAACTAAATATAAAACAGCAGCATCTTGAATGCATAAATCACTGTAGTCAGTCATCTAGCCTGTTGCTTCCCACTTTAATAGATGGTTCTTAAAAGTCTACCTTTCTTTTGTTTTGTCCTTAAGATACCTTCTCATAAGCTTCTGACTTAGTTTTAGCTGCCACAGAGGATAGGGACCATCTGTTTATTCCCTTCTGCTCTTCACGAAATAATTCTTTTTAAATGTACATCATAATCATTGTATTTAAGATTTGAATCCACATTCTTTCTCAATATTATGCACTTCATTTACCAAAATGAGCTTCCTTAAACTTTTCTACAGACATTTTACAGAACTGATGTGCTTCTAAATGTAAGTTTCTTTCACACATTGACACAAATATGAAGAGTATAAATTAGTATTTTGTCTTTTTTCCTTTTTAAACAGTCTCCATCAAAATCCCCCCAGTCTTCCCTCCTTGGAAGACCAAAATAGCAATGCCTTTGAGCATTTCTCCCCTGGGAGCTTTTCCACTTCTTTCTGTGAAAGTCTAAGAGATAAATGTCCTCTTAATGACTTGGCTGCCTGGGCAGTCTCCGTCAGTGAGCTCCCATGCCCTTCTCCTTCAAAACGGTAGGTCCCATTATGAAGCCCTGCTCAAGACTCACCCTGCTGTGGGATTTAGAATGCTCCTGGCACAGTGTAGGGGCCAGGAGGCTGGTATTCTTAGTTAGACACATATTTTCACTTGGGATAAGCCTTAGTTTTCAAGGAAAGCAACTAAAATTCATTTCCAATTGATACCCCCTCCCCTTTACTGCCCTGATTTCTGTACTCCAACACTGTTTTCAAGGCTTTCTTGTGTTCACTTCCTTAAGTCCCTGAACCTTGGGTACCCCAGATTAACTCAGTGGAATCCATTAGACTTCTGCTGATTCCTCTCTCTCATATGATTTAAATACTAATGTTCATAAAAACCTCCCTATTCTCTTGTCTTTGCCACAGGTACCATTTCTGTCAACACCCTGCGCACTCCCTACACTGCTCCCGGTGAAAGTGAGATCTTGGACCTGGATGATGAATTGTACCTGGGTGGCTTGCCAGAGAATAAGGCCGGCCTTGTCTTCCCCACTGAGGTGTGGACTGCTCTGCTCAACTATGGCTACGTGGGCTGCATCCGGGATCTGTTCATTGATGGCCAAAGCAAAGACATCCGGCAGATGGCGGAAATTCAGAGTACTGCTGGAGTGAAGCCATCCTGCTCAAGGGAGACAGCAAAACCGTGCCTTAGCAATCCTTGCAAAAACAATGGCATGTGCAGGGATGGCTGGAACAGATACGTCTGTGATTGCTCCGGAACAGGGTATCTCGGCAGGTCCTGTGAGAGAGGTAGGATTTCAAAACCCGACTACCAAGTCACCGGGAGAAACGTAGGGTAAATGTCAGCCTTCAGCCTCAGTTGAAACATAACTTCTAATGAAGTAAAGTGAAGTCTGAACCCCAGACCTGACCCTGGTAACTGATGAGGTTTTAATGATTTTCAAAGAGCCTGATTGGGAGGACACATAACTCTGAAAATGTATTCAGGGTTATGAATGTGCCTGTTCCAAAACCTGTTGGCCAAGCACCTAAGATGTATGGGCCGCCTCTGAAAGCTCTTTTGCCCAGTTTTTAACTTCAGGATATTAGATAGCACAAAGGCATACACTAGACATATCTATGACCTCTAATGCTAATATGTATGCCAAGAAACAGCATTTCAAGTAAGCCAGATGATAAATGACAACTCCTGTGACACTCCAGGGTGAGACTTAAACTTGCCTGTTCATTTCACTTTCTCAGGTTGCTCTAGAAGCAAATTCTTTTATGAAAAGGAAGTTCAATCTCAAACAGCTAAGTTCTGTTAACACAGTCAGAGGTCTTTGCTGGTGTCAAAGGTGCTTGCTTTTGCTGCGGACCTAACCGATCACAGAAGCTGAATCTACTTGTTTACCTCTAAGGCTCGATTGTCTCTATGAGATCTCTGAGCAGGTGCTTCCCTTGCCTCCCCTCAGAGAAAACAAAGCTATCTTATTTTTCTTTTCCTCTCCCCTTACAAAGAAAGGAACAAGGCTTCACCGATCACAGAAGCTGAATCTGCTTGTTTACCTGTAAGGCTCGATTGTCTCTATGAGATCTCTGAGCAGGTGTTTCCCTTGCCTCCCCTCAGAGAAAACAAAGCTATCTTATTTTTCTTTTCCTCTCCCCTTACAAAGAAAGGAACAAGGCTTCCAAAAAGAATGAGGGTGACAGACGTCAACAGCTGACTTGAAGCCCAGGCTAACGGAAGAAATAGCAGAATAGTCCAAAGCATACCTTTCCATTGACCCAGGGCTCCAGATAAATGCTCTCATCACTACACTCATTGTCACTTATTTTCTACAGTGAAACTGAAAATCAATATGGAAAAACATTGATGAGTTGTTCCATTGTCCTCTCGTGTAACATTGCCTTCTTAGGTATTCAGAATAAAAGGAACCCAGCACTTGGTATATTCCCAGTTCAATACTTTCCTTTATTTCTATAATCGTTCATTTCGTTTGACCTAAAACTTAAAAAGGAAAAGGTGCCTTTGTAAAATTAAAAATTGAAATGCGATTTTGATTCTTTATCTTAAAGAAATGCATCAGCTTACCAGTATGATTACCAATATTAATAAATATTAATAACACATTCATTATATAATAATATGTTAAACTATCTACTAAAATTCCATGTCAAACAGTTAAATAGGTCAATAGATTGTTGTACAGCATATAGATATGACTGTGTTCTCACGACAGCACCTAGTTGTATGCCTGGGATTTGTCACTAAAGCCTAAGTTTCTTTGTATCTTGGCTTCTATCGATGTATTGTTTAGAAATTTTCTCTTTCCTCTTTCCTTCCTAATTGCTTAGTTTGGTTTAGGGAAGTTCCAAAGGGGAGAAAAAAGTGACAAATTCCATAAAGTGTATACAGTTGGGCAAATACGAGATTAGCGGAGAGCTTGATTTAAAATTCTGCTTTAATTTTAATCACTGAAAGTTTCCAGTCATCCCTGATGCCTCTTGGTTAAGTGAAGCTTGAGGAAGTATGTAACAACTGTCACAAGAATTACAAAACTCTTCAGTTAAATATGCACGGTGTACCACCCTGTGGCAATATTCTGCCACTGCATATGGCGAAACAAAAATAGAAATTGTAGAGGATCTGAGCCAGAAGGAGGGAAAGGGAATATTTATATACTGCAATAATTAGCAGGAAAGGTGGTAAGCACATACAGATTTGCAAATGAGGATTTAATAACGAACTTCATCCCTGGGATTTAGCATATATTTTTATCTCATGGGTTGCTGGAAATTTCTGCAGATTTCTTTGTCTTTAAGTTGGTTGTTCCTTGAAGATAAAATTATGATGTCATGTGATTCTTGTTTATCAACTTCAAAAGCATATTTGAAGAAGTATTTGCTTTTCAGAATTAGGTTTTTTTCAGATTACTTTGACTCTCCTGAGCCCAAGGAGGGCATAGGATGGCTGCCATGCTCAGTAGCAATGAATGTGGCCTCTGTCCAGTTCTCAGCAAACTGAGATCATGCCAAGCCTTTGAGTTTTCAAGTCAGAAGAAAATGCTTGACTGTTTTCTTCTCCAGATACACTCTTATCACAGTAGGCTATTGGCCTCAAAACTGACTGAGAACTCTTGAAATAGAGAATTTTAAAAGAAGTTTATTAAAGTTTCTGTTTTATTGTTTCAAATAATTTTAAAAAGCAAGTTCAAGTCATTGAATGTTTCTGTATCATGGAGAGTGATGGTAGAATTGTGATTCATAAAAGAGCTTTATAAGAAAAAATATCCGTAACCTAAGCAAATAGGAAGATACTATTTGTTCTGCGTATGTTGACTCTATAAGCAAGAATCATACAGACGTGATGTCCAGTGAGCCATTAAATAGGGCAGTTTCCTTTACCTTTTTAATAAAACAGAATTTTCGAAGACTGGATCACATAAAAATTATTCTCGGAGATAAGTGCAATAAGACTGTTAGTATAATCAGAGGTCTACTTTCTACTTGTTTGTTAAAACTCTAACAGATGGAGGGACAGATGTCAGAGCAGTATAATTTGGCTCCCTGTCTGATTTTCATCGTTGATCACAATATGTGACTCCCTCTCGGCAAAACTGAGCACAGGTGTACACTTTAGACTGCAACAAGGAATAATGCAGAAAAGCAAATTTATCAAATTTAATGACAAGGGAGAAGGAGAGATAGAAGACAAAGTTGAAACTGGTTTTCACCCCCACTGGGAAGACGTGTACTGGAATTAGCCTTCTAAAGGGCTCTTTATGTGCTAAATGATAAAATAATTTTGTGAATGTTCTAGATGCTGCCAAATAGCATAACCTTCAAATGTCAGAGTGTTGTCTAACATTTATTTGGCAATTTTAGACCTTGTGCATTTTCCATTTCTTGCCTAATTAAACATTAACTCTAATTATGAGGAATCATTTAGGATTTAGGTTGTCATTTATCAACAAGTTATTTTCACATTGAGAATTGTTTGAAATGGCATTCAGGGGCACTCGAGTTTTATTACTTTACTATTATTTCATCCCCACAGCTTTTTGGAGGCTGATAATGGCTAATGACCTTGATTATTTCCCTACACTAGATTGTATTTCACAATGTATTTATGACTATTAATTGTGTTTCTAAAAATAAATGCCCCATACTTACTTTTCAAATTAAGCAATTTTGCATAATAAGCTATTTTTAAAATATGATTATTAAATAATAAAAAGTAGTTTTATAAATTAAGTAGCCAAAAGAAAACTAATAGTTTAGTTCTTTTCCTCTGTATGATATCAAAGTAACAAAATAATTTATAAGGAGTCTTCACTTGTATTATTTGTTGTTTTGCATGATTAAAGTTTAGAAAAGGGAAAAATAAATGCCAAATTTCACTTAAGATTATCCCTAAAATACCTCTGTTTCAGAGTTAACTGTGATTTTGCAAATTTTTTGAGCATTTCATACATGAATATTGTATTTACAACTTTTCCACCCCTCCCTTTCCCCATCACAACTCCTCCCATATCCCCTCCACTCCCTCTTAACTTCTTGTCTTCTTCTTTATTATTGTTTTATACACATTCATTTATGTGTACACAAATATATACTACACTTAGTCCATTTAGTGGTGTATACATGTGTTTAGGGCTGACAACTTGGGATTGGATAACCTATCAGGAACTAGTCCCTGGAGAAAACTGATTCGACATTGATTGATCGCCTGTAGCTTTACATTTAGTAGTGATACCCTGTGAAATTTCCCCCTATCTACTTTGGCATGTTAATTGGTGCTGTCATTATGCAGGGCTAGCTTAGGTAATCATATTGTGGAGATTTCATGGCTATAGTTTCCCTGTCATGTCTGAAAGACACTAGCTAGTCCTGGTCTTCTGGCTCTTATAATCTTTCTACGCCCCTTTTAGGGATTATGTTGAGGATATATCAGTTGGCACTAAGTACCACATGGTTGCTTATTCTCTGTATTTGTTATCAGTGGTGGAACTTTTTAATAATCTTTACTCGTTGCAAAAAAAATAAAGAAGATTCTTTGTTGAGTAGTGAGAGCTACAGTTAGTGAATATAAAGATATGTATTTAGAATATAACACGCAGTTGCATTTGGTTTAAGAAAGTGGCAGTATGTAGGTTCTCCTCTAGGGTCTATGATCTCTCCAATCATGAGTACTTGGCTGTTTTTACAGTACCAGGCATGGGCTTCCTCCTGTTGAGCAGTACTTAAGTTCAATTAGACAGCTGTTGATTGCCCCCAAGATGAAAGTGCCACCATTGAACCAATGGAGATCATTTGCTTGACTGGTCATTGTTGTGGTTCATAGGCTTTACGACCGGGTAGGATCATTGATTGTTTTTCTCCCTTGGCAGCTTCTAATACTATGAGAGCTAGTTTTCAGGAGTAGTCCTCCAGGTTGGTTCCAGCATAATTTTTCCAAGTTGTCTGTCCAAAAGTGTGTGGCATCTTCAGCACAAGGATTTGACCTTCAAGTTCAAGGAGGCAACCGGGGGTTTTGACAAAAGACTGTATTATTTTGGAAGTCTCACGGACTATGCTGACCAACAGCTGGAAGGAAGACTTCCTTTGATCTTGGGCAACTACTACTGATTACCTACATTGAGTTCTATCCTTTTCAACATTTTCCCCATTGAAGAAACTTCTTATTTAATTCAAAAAATTGGTGATACAATAGAGAATTGGCATATTTTAAGATTTTTTTTTATTTCCTTAGTTATTTGGGTCAGCGAATAACCATGAGACACTAACTTTGATAAACAAATTCTCTATTCTTCCTTTCGCAGTCCTTTTATAACCGTTAAATTAGACATTAATGTTTTTTGTATAAGTTATCAAAAATTATTTCACTTATAGTAGGTGAGATAAATGGTTTATTACTTTGGCGATTGTTTATTTAAATTTTGTATCCACATTCAGAAAATTTCTTGGAATGTTTTCAATATATTCTGCAATTGTTAATTCAAGAAATATGACTGGGCATGTGGTACACACCTCCTAAGCACTACTTAGGAGGCAGAGGAAGGTGAATCTCTTTGGAATAGAGGCCAGCCTTGTCTACATAGTGAGTTCCAGGTCAACTGGAGTTGTGGGGAAACCCTGTCTCAAAATAAAAAAAAATAAAAAATAAAAAGAAAAAAGAAATAATTGTAGTGTCCCAGCTCTTTCTGACTGAGTTGCTCACCAGCAGAACAGTGAGAGATTGTTCTGCTTCCTCAAGGCAGCTGTGTTCTAAAGGGAAGTACAGATAATAGCATTTGAACAATTCAAAATAACCCAAAACAAATGAAATAGTCCTAGATATGGAATAAATGAAGGAGGGAACAATGCTCTCCTGCACTAGACCAGAAACCAGAATGAAGATAAGGTGAGACTTTTCATGATACAGGCATTTGTGGACGAAAACATTTCTAGCTGCAGCAGAAACCTCCTGGGGGAGGGGTACGGGCTAAACAGAGTGCTCTAACAAGGTTTCCTGCTTAAGGGTTTAATTTGTTTTCTGTGTGGAGAGAGAAAGAGCAGAGATGGAAATATCACTGAGGCAGGACTTTAAGCTGTCTAGGTAACATGGGAGCAGAGATTTTGATAGTGTAGCTCTAAAGGTGAAAAGCCATCAACTAAGGAAAAGGACTGCGATGATACCATGAAGTTTCCCCAATTTATATAATCTTGACATGGCAGAGAAGGTAAGAGAAAAGTTTAAGGTATTGGTCCAGGTCAATGGATTTATAGCATTTACTAAGATGGAAAGGTCTGAAGAAGATAGAAGAGTTTGGTCATTTCAGGGGAAGATAAATTAAGAGCGAGTTATCAATCATATTTAAACTGAGGATGCCAAATACACAATAGACAGAGAAATCTTCACTGACAGGGAGTGAGAGTGAGACCGTGAATTGATGGAGATTCCTTCAATCAAGGCTGTATAGAGAGGAGCAGGCTGTGAAGGAGAGAGAGAGCTGGAACGCAGCATACAGTCCTTAAGAGATTCCAGTTACACCTTCAATACTGGAGTGACAACAGTTAACGATTAAAGACGCTTAGAAATTGTGCTTGACCTTCCTGACTCTGAAAGACAAACTTGCAAAACCACACCAGAATATAGTCTTAATAATGAGCACAGTTGTAACAGTAAAGCTAATTGCTGTGCTGTGTAAATAGCCGAGATAATGAGAATTTCCTAGTTTATTTTAATTCCAGGTAGTTTTTCTTCTATTAAACGGCATTCTGAATTACCAGAAGCAATAAGAAAGCAAAATGACTCACGCTTGTTTTTGTTTTTCAATGTTCCGCTACCATATGGTGTTTAACACTGAGGGGGGTGCTGTTCCTTAAAGCAATTTGTCATCAACAGGTTTTGCTACTCATTTCTTTAAATGTTTAATAATATAAGGTAATTTTCCTATTAAGATCATCTACCTTAGTTTAGTAACACATACCTGCACAGGGTCCTCAGCCTTATAGCTGTCCCCAATCAAAGGTCAAACTTATTGACACTTTGGTGATAATTAAATATTTTGGGAACACTGAGGATTGTTCTTATCGATGACATTTCAAGTTACTCCTTACCTGTAAAGTAGCCTTAAAATAGGTTTATGAGCTGTGGTAATTTAAAAACTCCCCGCCCCCCCCCCTTTAAGCACAGTAGCAGAGAAGAATACTAATTTCTGAAGCTCGGTGACATGCTGTCATTTTTTACTTTCTCTTTTTTGAATATCAACTTTGATAAAGAGCCCAATTTCTATATTTCAGTAATATTTCCATCTTAAGTTAGTATGAAAAAATGTTAATAGTAGCTTCTCTTCACATTCTTGATTTTCCAGATTGGTCAGACTTAGAGATGGTGCAGTAACACCCTTTCTTTTTTTTTTTTTTAGATGCAGAATAAATCAGTGCCAAAGCAAGGGTGACCAACTGTGCAGAGTAGTCAGGAGCCTCACTGAGCATACACACATCCTTCATAGCTGTCCACATTTCCAACCAGGGTCACACTGCAGCTGTTCCAAACAGCATGATCTGTGGTCTTGAGAAGGGAAATGCATATAAAACACAGCCCATTAGGGCTGATGCTATAGGTAGAAAGCGCCATCTGAGGAGAAAGGTAACCACTGCCATTGCAGGTTCTGAGTTAACGTTAAGGGGGATCCTTCGCAAAGAAAGTCGTCACTGCTAGAATTTTGTTTTTACCATTAAGAAGAAAAGAAACTCACTTCTGAAGCAGATAATCTGATTTTTATAGTTTATGTTCTATCTAGACGTCTTTAGTAGTCTCTTCTTTTCAAGTGTAAATGCGCTACACTAAAACGTATTGTATTCAATTATTCTCCATAGAGGCAACCGTTCTGAGCTATGACGGGAGTATGTTCATGAAGATTCAGCTCCCAGTGGTGATGCACACTGAAGCTGAGGACGTGTCCTTAAGGTTCAGATCCCAGCGTGCATATGGCATTCTGACGGCGACTACTTCTAGGGACTCTGCAGACACCCTCCGCCTGGAGCTAGATGCAGGGCGTGTGAAACTCACGGTCAATCTAGGTAACAACTTGCCTTCCACCACTGAACTAACACTTCTCACTTTCTGTTCAGTCTTGCCTGCAAACATTTATCAAATGGCCTGTTTGCTTTGGAAAGTTAAAACTTTTAATCGTCTTATTCCCATCATTTAAATTAATTCAAGCTTTTGGGGGGCATTATTTTTGTTATTGTTTACCATAATTTAGTGTATTGTGACTCCTACCACTCAAGGGTCTTAAGGAGAAGCCCTATCAGTGAGATGAATTGAAAATAAAATTTATGAGGCTTAAAGATGTCTCAAACTGAATTTTTTTCTTGTTACGTGTTCTGACTTTTTGATGGATGATAGAAGCTATTGGTAAATAAAAATATCTAAGTAAGATGCCATGTATATAAAATATCCAACTTATCTTTTACAATTAGACTAACAATTGTCCTTATGCTTCTCCGTGGGCTTCTCCTTTGAATAGTCACCTTCGTGGTTCTCCATCTTTTCTGTTTTGAAGTACCATGTGGGATATTTTGCTGTCAATCAGCGATCCACAACCCTTCAATGCCCAAAGTCTGCGGCCCTCAGCAAACAGCCATGAGAACAGTGAGGACTCAGTCTCCTCTACAGAGAGATAATGCTTTCCTGAATAAATAGAATATCAAAAAAAAAAGTTGCTACAGTAAAACCTCACTAATCTGGACAAATTATGGGGTAACATTCAGACTGGTTAAGAAAAAAAATTGAATACTAGTTTTTAGAGTTAAGCAGTTCATTAGTTTTTTCAATTACATTAAAAAAAACATAAATTAATATAAACTGGAAAAATCCTGTCAAGGAAAGGGCTGACTGACTGGGCTGGTTTTAGTGAATGCATAGAAATGATTAGCCCCTGACGAATATATTGTTGCTCGCACATTCCACCACAATTTATATTGAAGTACTCGAACTCAGTTTTCTACCTGAACTTGGCCTTTCAAAATCTTATTTATTTATAGGTCTCTCCCCAGAAAATCTCGCTTCATACCAAGTGAAGATTTAATATTCTGCCCAATAAGTTTCTATATTATCATAACTCTAATATGACTGACAACGAATGAGGTTTTACTGTATTTAATTATGATGTTAAATACATATCAAAATGAATCAGCAAAGGAAGAAAAAATATAATTTGAAACTGCGTACATTTATTCTAGGAAAAATTAGCAAAATGGGATGTCAAGACATTTATGACAACCCTAATCTGCATTTTCAAAATCTGCTTGGAGAAGTGGAAGATCATAAAGTATAAATGAACCCTTCGGTAGCTTATTGCACACTAATTGCATTCAATTAGCACTAGTTAAGTTAAATAGTGTAGTTTAAAAAGGCAACACATACAATATTGTTTACTGTTCTGTTAGAGTTCCCTCTAGTGACAATGATAGGTAACTACAAGGAAATTGGTATAAATCCCTTAATGAAGAGGCTGCTTTCTGGTCAAAATGGAAACACTTAGGGGAATTTTCAACAGCAAAGCATTCTGTAGAAGGAGTTGTGTAGATCCTGGTCCTTGGCTGTTTGCAACCACTTTTCTGATGCGGTTGACGACACATGACAAACTCAGCTATATGGAAACAGAATCTAGGTTTGTATTTCCCACCTTCCCCAAAGGCATTAAACACTAAAACAAAAGCCAAACAGTATATATCTATCTATACAACAAACACAAAGCATCCCATGTAGTCCTTTAAAGAGAAACTACTGTGATCTCAGTCTGCTTTATCCACACCAGACATTTTTAAATGATAACTACTTTCATGTGAAGCAAATAAACCAGAGGAAAAACATGTAACATCAAGCATGGCATCTCCTAAGAGAACCATGCTCCTGTGTGCTTTAAGAAATGACTTCTCCACAGCCACCATAGTTTCTAAGAGTGCATATAACACCCCCCCTTCACTTAATACAAGATGTAGAGTCCAGTGGACATCTGCCTGTCAATGTTTTATACCAGGAAAATAAAATTAAAAGACAAATATACAGAAAAATTAGGGTATATTTAGAATAATTTTATTTATTTAGTCTCTGTTGGATTATTGAGATTCTAAAGGATTCTGTTAGCCTTTGTGGGATAATAGATTTTGGAGGTCCAAGATGTCTGAGCCTAGCTGAGCTTGCACTGTACCCCATTGTGACGGAGCACTTTTATATTTTGCTGAAAATAATACTATGTTCTTTCACAGATGGGGAGAAAGTTGCAGCCAGTCTAAGTCAAGCATCTTTGACAGTTAAATACTGTTATTTCACTTAGATTCGTCACCATGTAGCTCTGTTTGAATTGGCCATATTTTTAAACATTCTCTTGTTGTTTCCAATGGTACAGTTTCATAGCAATAAATCTGGGTTCTAGAAGTATATGATGCATAATGACATGCAGTGGCCATATTTGCATGTGTCTGTCCCCGGAAGGGTGGACTGTGATTTTATTGGATGTCTGCAGCTATTACCTTGAAGGATAAATATTCATTTTCATCTATTCTTCCCCATCTAGATTGTATCAGGATTAACTGTAATTCCAGTAAGTGCCTATTCAAAATTTTTAAAATGTTATTCCTCCATTACAATGTAAGCTAGTCAAGAAAAAGACAGTAAGAAAAATGCATTTATAAAATTCATGATCTCACATTTGAAGTATACCAGTCCATCATCTGGGTTGTAAAAATTCATTCTATATCTGTGTAGCTGAAGGATTTTTCATGGAAATTCCTATTTCTATATGAGAAAAGAGATAGCAGATATTTTGATACAGAGGTAAAAATGTCTATGGAGAACTTTGGACAATGCATTTGGGTTTGGTCAGATTTCAGATTCTTGTAGTTCCCTTTTTAATTAAATATGACAAAATACTGTGGGTTTTATTTTTTTCTGTTTCTATTCCTTGACTCAAATGTGGAAAACATATATTTAACCTCACTTATTTTTAGAACTATTAATCATTCTAAATTCATCCAAAGTTTTCCATAGAAAAATGTGTTTTCCCAGTCATATGTTCCACTATCGACCTGAAGAATTTCTTTATTAAGAAAATTTGTATAATGAATTTTTACATCCTGATCATTTAGCTACAAATATAACAAAAAAACATTCAAATATGTGATATGCATGCCAAAGATGGATCAAAAAGATGTATGGACTGAGTTTTATTTGGATTTAGACTGGAGATCTGAAAAGATATAAGGACTGTGATTTTATTTTGAGTTGTGACATTCTCCGATGAGTAAATTTACTCCATTTCTTTATGTCAATGTTAAGGTTTTTCTTTTCCAGGTTTTGCTCACCACAAAAAGAAAGCTCTCCAATGACCACAAAGTCATTAGCTATTTAATAAAATGGTTCTAATGAACTTCTGATCTCTCAATATCATAGTTAAACATTGATCTCTGCCCCTGGAAGAAAGCTGACTGTGAGTTGGTGGAGTTTACGCCTTATACATTTGGCTGTGTTTCTAAACGGCAACTCATTTTCTGAGGAACAAAATGGTGCCGTTAAACACAAAAACAAAACAACTTTTCTAATAAAATACGTACTATTTCACATGCTCCTGTTTGAATATACCTAACTCATAGCTGCTGTCATGTGTTACAATATTTTAAGTAGCATAAAGGTGAGTCTGATGAATCATACAGTAAAATTTAATTATAAACTATAACTAAACATACCAAGCATTTAAAAATCGTCTCTAAAAGAATAGTTCCTGAAAATAATCTCCCCAGGCTCTACAGAAACAAAGTGTTTAAGTATGCATCAGACCCTCTCCAGCCATTCTTTCTGATGCATTTCTCTGGAGTGTACATTTTATAGATCCAGTCCACGGTCCACTGGGGCACTGATGGAGACGAAGTGGCAGCTCACCAAGTACTCTCTCCAAAGTCAGATTCATGCCTTAGCACAACTGTAAAACTTTCTGATTCCTCCTGAATTGCAGAAAATTCATGTGAGGAAAGTATTTCTAGACCTTCGCCTTATGTATTCCTTTTATTTCATTATATTAACTTTACCAAAAACATACATCACTAAATCTATAAAAATGAGCAATATAAACTCTGACAGTTAATGAATTAACCTAAATCAAATGTTATTTACTGTCCTCTGACTTTGAAAAAAATATATGTATATGTGTGTATACACCTATATATGTAGTAAAATTAGTCTTGTTAGACTCAAGTCATCATTGCTTAATAGAAAACTCTGGTACTATGGATAGTTTTTCCCCTCAGGCTCTTTCATAGAATGTTAATTTTGAAGACAAAGGTTTTCACTGGTTAGTGATTTATTTCCTTTTTAAAGAAGTATATGCTACATTTGAATATTTGAATGAAATGAATGGATTGTGAGCTTTCAGTGCGCACCTCGGACAGGACTGCAAGTGCCTTAGCTTGACAGCAGTCACTGGAAGGAAAATTCAATGACCAGGTAATGTTCCCATTTCCTTTTGACTTGGTTTATTTGGGGAGTAGTGGGCAGAGGTAGTGAGCAACTCATATTTCATAAAGAAGATTCAACACTGAGGAAAATTACAAATTTACATATGAAATAAAGGACACTTAACACACAGTGCTTACAGAAGCTTACGTTTCCAGGTGGAGTGTATTTAATACTCAGTAGAGAATAAAAATTAGAATTATCTTTATCTCAGTCTAATTTCTTTAGAATCTTTGTGAGCTATAAGCTTGTCTGGAACTGCCAAGATTAATACACAGTTATTAAGTCACAGCTCCATAATGTCACTGTTTTGAAAAACTATGATTGTGAGATTACTATAAAATACTTCTATTGATACATTTTAATAAAACTACCACAGCAAATATATGGACTTTAATAAAAAAATTTTCCATGTATTGAGAATTTATATTTGTACTTGAAGTTGTTAAGTTTTAGTGAAGTCTTCTCTGACACATTCCTCTACATTGGCTTAGAATTACTCTGTAATTTCTACAGTCATCTTCTTTGCCATCCTCTCTTCTTAAGTTCACAACATCTGCACTACATAAGAAGAAAACTTAAAGAGCATCAACATTTTCAAATCTTTGCTATTGAAAACTGGGCAAAGAGAGAAGAAAACAGGGCTGTGCGTGTTCTGCCTTTCACCCTCTGAGAACCGCCAGGGCTCCTTCTTTCTCTGCCACTCTCATGCCCCAGGTCTAGATGCAGTTCTAGAATTTTCTGTAAAACATCCCAGTTTCCTCTGAGAAAGGGCAAATTTGAATCCCAAGGATTATGTTTGACAGATTTTCCTGTAGCCACCATTTCCCCCCTTAGGGAAAGCTGCCAACCGTCTTTAAATAAAAGAGGAGAGCTCCTTTTCCATTTAAAACTCAAATACTTGCTTTCATGTGGGGAGAAAGTCGTTTTTAAAGAGCCATCTCAATGAATAGTGACCGAGTCATGTCAAAGGGGATGTCTTGATCTTTGGGAAGCTAAGAGACAATCTCTGACCAGCCTCATCTCACTGTCAAACCTTAGCTGATACCAGTGCAAAATACACAGTTATCTGCAACTCAGAATTAGATTTAGGTCACTTTGAAGCACAGAGATATGTTGCCTGCTGTCCTCTGCTCAGAGTGGAAACACATAGGCAGATCATTTATTCACTTCTTCATTTTCTTTGTGAGAAACACAAATAACCATACTTTAAATTTTTTCATATTAAATCGACCAAAAAAAAAAAAGCCCACCATTTTTAATACAAATAATCATTTTTCTATTTTTCTGGACAGTAAAGATTCTTTAATCAAGGTACATTGGAAAGGACTGTGAGTTCCCTGGTATTTAACATAAAGATGATGAAAAGTACTTTAATTAGTTAAAGAATTATAGATTACTTTGACAAAACTATTATAAAATTATACTAATATAAACTAAATATTAATAAATTCATGTAAATAGTTTAGTTGTTTTTCAGTGCTTGGGAGGCAGAGGCAGGCAGATCTCTGTGAGTTCAAGGCCAGCCTGGTCTACATAGTGAGTTCCAGGACAGCTGGGGCTACAGGGAGACCCTGTCTCAAAAAGACCAAAAAAAAAAAAAATCTATAGAAAATATAAAAGGAAATTTCTATTCCTTGTAAAACTTTCTCAAATACACGATTCGCAGGGTCTAGACAGAACATTGCTCACATTCTGTGTTATTTTTCTTTTTAAAACCACTTGGCATAATCTCCTGGAAATTTGTGGAGTTATCAACACAGGCTTTTTCAAACCAGATGCCTGGTGACTCTAAACAATATATCCAAGGTGATTAGATGATATCTAAATTTTTTTTTTTTGCAAAATTTGACCTTGGCAGTGGCATATTAATTGCTTACCTAAATAACTTCACTGGTTCTTTTTCAGTTCTTCTAAGTAACTTTTAAAGTTGTTAGTGCTATAATATTTGAAAGTGAAAAAAGATTGAAGATTTGAAGGCCAAACTTGAACCCATCATCCAAGAGTGAATCCATTTATCGTAGAAGTAAATTCTTTCATTTTTTGTGAATATAGTGATGATTCTATGTTTTTTTTTTCTTTTTTTCTTTTCTATGCTTTTTGTTTGCCACACCAGTGACACAATCACAGAATGTCTTTCTGGTCTACAGGAAAACTTGGAGTCACTTTTAAATCTATAGTTCAATAGATGTGTGTGTGTGTGTGTGTAAAAGTGTAAGTGTGTGTGTTCATGCACATGCTTGTGAAAGCTAGGGGCAATGCCAGCTATTTTTCTCTGTCATTCTTCACTTCATTTTTTGACAGCGTTTTTCACTGATTGGTAAGACTCGCTGGTCAATAGACCCCACACTCCACATTCCCATACTGAGATTATAGGCCTTTGCCACTGTACCTATGTTTTTATGTGGGTGCTGGGGATTCAAACTCAGGTCTTCATGCTTGTGCAGTAAATGACTGAGCCTTCTCCCCTGTCCAGAAGTGGATTTTGATAAATGTGTGGACTCTGCTTTGCCTGTTTGTTTCCGTTTGCCTTTCTTATGTCTAGAAGTTTGTCCCTTCCCACCTGCCCTCCCTCCCTCCCTCCTTTCCTTCCTTCTTTCCTCTCTCCTTCCTTCCTCCCTCCCTCCCTCCCTCCCTCCCTTCTGCTTATGCTGTTTCCTTCTCCATTTCCAACTCTACACTCTTCTGTTCTTTTTCCTCTTGTTTCCATATAAGAGTACAAGTCTTTCAGGGTTAAAGCAATGACTTTAGAAAACACAACTCCCAGCTCCTTTCAGTTTCTCCCGGTAAGTGATTTATCTAAGAGGCAGAAACAACTAAATTGCACAAGACATTATTGTGGACAAAATGTCAAGGGTTGAAGATCAAATTCTTTTACAATCCAGGGCCCAAATGCAGGAGATGAAGGGGAGTCCAAGGGCAAGTACTTAACCTCGCTTTTGACTTGGCGAGAGATAAGAAACATTCTGAGCAGTGTGTTATTGGAAAATGTACTTTGATGGATGTCTGGGGAGGATAATAAGATCTTTGTATTATCATTTTATTGCCAGAATGAAAAGATCAACTGGATATTAGTTATCGCCAATTTTTCTATGT